CCTCCACATTGGCCTTGTATTGGGCCACTATTTCTTCGGCGTCGGTGGAGGTTGCATCTAATTTGGACTTCGTTACCTCGTACTCTCTACCGAGGACGTCCTACGCTGCGACAGCCGAGCTCAGCTGTGCTCGGAGATTGTCATTCAGCTGGGACCGATTTTCAGCTTTCTCCTTCGTCACCGAAGTTGGACCTCTAACGATGCCAGCTTCGCCTCGGTGGTTTCCTTCTCCAAAGCAGTAGGTCCACTTTGCTTTTCCGCCCCTCGTCCATGGCTTGAACCTCGTTCATCTCAATACGGATCTGGTCGAGCTTCTATTGGACCTGCAAGGTTTTGTTGTTAGCCACCAAGACTAATTCCTCGTTTTTAACTTCAAATACATTTACCTTTTAGACCAGGTCGGCATGTTCCCTCTTCAGGGTCAAAGCTTCCTTCTGAGCCCTGTCCAACTCGGCCTAAAGGTCCTTGACGGCCCCATCTTGTTGCTCACTAAGCAGCTTGTACATATCCTTTTCCGAGCCTGCTCCTTGAGCTTGAACTCGAGTTGGCTTATCTCCAAGCGGTACCGGAGGAAACTCTCATGGTGAAGCACTGAAGCATGTAAAGAAATGGAAATAAGTAAGAAACATCAAAGGAATATTTTTAAGTAATTCATAAGGGGAGATTGAAGGTATTAGAACCTTAACCGATTCAATGTGTGATGTGCCTCATTGAAGAGGCTCGACGTGCCCACTTCATTCATCTTTGTCTGGTCCTCCTCGGTTACCAGACATCAGAGGTAACTGGCTATGCCTACCGTAGCGGATAAGACCCGGGCATCCACCGGGACCGTGAGAATAACCGTCCTCTTACGCTCGGGTCCACACTCGGCGCAGGGAATTGTTTCACCAATCGTGGGCTCGTGCTAGGTCCGCCATCTCCCGAGGGAACTTCCTTCTTCGATATCTCCAGATGGCCCAGCCCGGAGAAATCTTCTAGAGTTGACAGATCCATGTCATCGAAGAAGGAGTGGAGGGGGTCCTCTGCACCGTGTGCCCCTTTGCTTGATTTTTCTTTGCCCGCTTGGGCCTCTTCTAGCATGGAATCGGTGTAGGAGGGTGTCTCAACGATGTCGATCACACCGATAGCCTCCTTCAAAGCAGGAACAGTTTCTTAAGAGGTCGCAGCCCCCATCTCAATTCCGGCCTCTCAAACTAGAAGGAGCTCTGCCTCATGGTTCTTCTACTCGATTGCTGCCTGCTCCTCGAGAAGGGTAGATCCGTGGGCAACAAATATGTCGTCTTCTTCAGACTCATACTTGAGCTGGAGAAGCGAGTCAGAATCTGGCACCCGGGAGTTGGTGATCTTCTTGGGATTACGAGCCGCCCTCTTCTTTGGTTTCACTTCGGAATCCGAGGAGCCCGAAGACTTTCTTTTCCTCTTCTTCTTTTACCCCGCAATAGCCCCGGGCTTCCCCGTAACAGAGGGATCAATGAACAAGGATACATCCCCATCCCCTTCCAACGGCCTAAGTTTGGTGGTCTTAGGCAAACCTGTGAAGTAAAGAAGAGAGATCAACGCTATGTAATTTAAGAGCATAGTAATAGTTATTCGGAGGGGAACTTTACCATGAGAACGTGCCTCCCATCGGTCCTTCTAAAGCTTGCGCCATGAGCGCTCGAAGTATGACATCTACTTAAATATGCCTTCGATCCACTCCTTGAGCCAGGGAATCACATTAGGAACTCGTGCAACAACTGTACAACCATAAATACTAATGATGAGAAAGGAAATAAAGAAAAATTGACGCTTAGAGAAAGGTTGCACTTACGAGATACATTCCACTTCTCGGAAAATGGCAGGAATTTGGGAGGGATCAGATCCTCAGTTTTTACCCGAACAAAATGTCCCTGCTAGCCTCAGTCCCGATCATCGTCGATACTTGAAAAAAGGGGGCTTTGCTGGCCCGGTGAGTGAGTTTGATCAGCCCTCCTCAAAAAATTCGGGGACTATATAGGCGGAGTAAATGGTCAAGGGTGAACTGAGAGGATTCGATGTGGCTCACAAAATAATGGAGGAGGATCACGATCCTCCAAAGAGACAGGTGGATTTGCCTGAGGCATAGCTCGTACCTCATACAGAAGGCCAAAATCACCAGGTCTACCGGGCTTATAGTGAAAGAGTAAGTGTAGCCACTCAAGTACCCCTCCACGTGGGTAGTAATATCATCCTCGGGCACGGGGACTACTACGTCTTTGCCTTCCCATTTGTAGTCCTCTCGGACTATGGGAAGGACATCTTCAGTGATGGACCATATGTATCTACATGCTCCTTCGCCCCGGTCCTGTTTGGATTAGGGCTTCTCAACTTTGAAGTCGTCCTTTATTGAGCAACCCCCGGGTATAAAGCTTTTCATGGGAGGCTCGGGGGTAGCCACCTCGGGAGCGGCCACTTCGAGAACAACCGCCTCGAAAGCAGCCACCTCGGCATTTGTGGACGGGTGGGAAGATGAAGAGGCAGCCTGTTGAGGAACTAATTTGGAAGTTTTAGCCATTGCTATCTGGTAAAGTTTAAAAATTTAAAGAAAAAATATGAAGGTTTGAAGGAACGAGTTTGAAGGCTGAAGAGCAGAGTATGAAGATTTGAAGAAAATCTAGGTAAGAACCTAAGAACAATTATGAGGATTTGAAGATCAAAGATGAAGATATGAAGATTTGAAAGAAGTTGGTGATAGCTAGAAAATTCGAAGGTGGAAGCTTGATCGGAAAGTGGAAAATGAGCAGAGGGAAGAAGCTTTTATAGGGGAAGTACGCGACGCTTCGTATTCGGAGGCAACCAGTTGATGGTTGACACGTGTCCGAAGTCAGAACGACATGACTGATGGAACGTTTCAACTTCTTCGTCGTTACGGTTGTAACGTACGAAGGAAGGAACCGGGGTTCATCTATCACCTCTCATCGCTTCGGCAAACCTACTCTCTGAGAAACGAGAGAACTATCTGTATACGGGTAAAACCGTGGATAGTGAGCACCCCAATTTTTCGGTGAGGCAAATAAAGCAAGGACGTAACTACATGGAATCAAAATCGAAGCTAAGAACCTCTCGTACTGAGGCTCGAAGGAAGCGCTTACCACTGGGGCCATCGAGACAACGCCCCCCGTATCTGGTTCGAGCTCCAAGACCTCGGAAAGCATAACCAAACGGCTGCATACGACTAACGAAGGGCCGTGATATCCGCGCCCAATCGGATATCATGGTGTGGATCTCGGCCCGTATAGGCAGCAGATCAGTGATTAACGAGAAAGAAGATTTTTACCTTTCTTAGAATTATATTTAGGGTAAAACTCTCCTGCTATACAAGAGGCAAGTTTATTATTCAATAGACTCATTGTAACACGCATACCAAGGCAAATATAAACTTATTTTCTTTGCTTCTAAGTAATTCAAAAGTTCTTATTTTGCTCATAGTTCTTCACATATAATTTGGCTCCAAATCGAGGGCAGAATAACTGTCAAGCTTAGGTCCGAGCTCGGAATCAACTTCACAACTGGTTTGGTTATTTATTCGCATATCTAACACTATTGATCACTTGTATTAAATTAATCCNTATATATATATATATATATATATATATATATATATATATATATATATATAAATGGAGGGCTGACACATATATAATGTCATTAGTATATATGGAGTATTTGATAATATTACATCCCTCTATAATCTTATGAAACATCTCAAGTTTCCTCAAGTTAATCTATGGCTACTTCAATATTTGGAGTATTGATATATATACACCTAAAGACATCTTAGAGAAGGTCAATGAGGCTTATTGAGTTTCATGCTGATCACTTCCTTTACCTCATGTTCAATTCGGAAGCTGCTCCAAATGCTATGAGTGAGCACCATTACTCTACATCCAGTTATAGTTAGCTCCACACTAGATTGATGGCAACATTACTCTAATGTCCCGATATTGTATTTTAGTATTCTTGTGAGCTCTAAATATCCTTATGGATTTATGTACATGTAAGCAGGGGAAGACCTTATGTTGGTAATCCTAATAAGGAAAGATAGGCCTTTTCCTTCACAAATCACAAGCATGAAGAAAATAAGAACTAGCAAGAATAAAAAAGACCAATCATCTATTTTCTTAATCACAATAAAGATTTCACTTTCCAGTAAACATTATTTTCCTATCCATGTCACTTAAATTGTACCTTGCAAACAGCTCAAAAATGTAAAAGTAATTTCAAGATTATTATTTTGTTACCTTAAACGTGATCTATGGATGAAGTACACAAATAACTCTCAAAATAATCTTGAATTTTTATTCCTGCATGCTCCAAAACTTTAAGCTTAATAAGTGTTGCCCTTCCCTTACCCTATGGGCAATACTTTTAAAGTTTAAGCTCAAACTTCTTCCCATGGCATAAGTGGGGGTCAAAATTTAAAGACCACCCCAAAAAGTATTATATGTCTGCAATTATTTGTTAAAAAAGATGTCACAACTTAGAACCATTGATTTGGATGAAGGAAAAGTTATTTGGGAGAAATTCAAAAATAGCCAGATTTACAAGTGGTTATTCAAAAATAACCACAGTTTCAAAAGATCGAAATTTAGCCACTTTTCATGTAAAGATAAATTTGAACGAAAATACTGTTCAAAACCCGAAAAATACTCCAGCATAAGTATACTGGAACTCCAGCATAAGTATACTGGACTTCCAGCATAATATACTAGAGTTCCAATATAATATACCAGTCTAGCATAATATGTTGGAAGTTCATACACAGGTGCACCGATCTCCAGTATATTATGCTAAAACTTTCCGTGTTGCAGCAAAATAGTGATTATTTTTCATTAATTTTGCAAACGCTGACTATTTTTAAATGACCAGTCCGAAAACTGTCTAGCTCGTGCTATTTTTACAAGTTATTTGGGCTGATTGAAAAAATGGGCTACGCTTATGTTGTATTAGGCCCAGTCTGTCCTTCACCCCTGGTATAAATAAAGAAACGGACAGAAAGAAAGAGGGAGATAGTGAAAATGGCGACATGGGGTGCGTTTTGGGGAACAAGGGTAATGGAAATAGTGAAGAAGCATGATTCCGGCGGGCTTGTTTGGAAGAGAATAAAGCTCACTACTACTCGCAAAGCTAATGCCAAGAAACGTCTTCGCCGTGTTTGGCAGGTCAACTTCCTACTCTTCTTTTCCTTTTATTCTTCTTTAAACTCGGAATCTTTCCTTGTAAAAGTTTAGGGTTTTATGCTGATTCACACCGCTTATGCTATTTTTTTATTCAGTTGATGACATTATGTGGGAGATCTTTAATTTAGTTTCTTAGGTTGATGTAAATAATGAGGTTATTTTAAAAAAAATATATGAGGCGGTTGAACTAAACCCAGCGTTTAGGATACGGAGCATAAATATATGTGAAAAATTACCAAAATTATAACAAATACTGAATTCTGAATCCATAATTTCTATAGTGCAATGAGTTCAGACTTAGTTGGAAGCATTACATGACAACCGTGCCTGTGGGTTGTAGCAGGCTGCTTGGTGGATGAGTGTGTGCAAGCTGGCCCTAGCTCCATTGCCACAAAAAAGAAAAAAAGAAGAAGAAAGAAAGTCACTTTTTCTATTGCCTAGGAATTTTAGAAAGTCGTCTTTGACTCACTAACAGCTAATTTTTTTTTCTAAAAAACTGGAAAATCAAAACTATTTGTACAAGGAAGGTCAATGATGCACAATGTTTTGATCTGCCATGACTTACTAAGGCACTACAATAGAAAGACAACTCCCAGATGCTTAATGAAAATAGGCATCAGAAGGCATATGACATGATAAGCTGGGAGTTTTTGGAGGAAGCTTTAAGAGGATATGGATTTCCAGAGAAATTCATTCACAGTCAAAGTTAATGGTGAAGGTCATGATTACTTTGCTAGAAAGAGAGGATTGATGCAGGGAGATCCCATTTCCCCACTACTATTTGTTCTAGTAATGGAGTACCTTTTCAGAACCTTAAAGACAATCAGTAGATTACCATACTTCAGGTTTCATCAAATGTGCAAAGAGATCAAGCTGACACACCTCATATTTGCAGATGATTTGATGATATTCTGCAAAGGTAATGTTAGCTCAGTTAATAGAGCAATGGAAGCTCTTGATTACTTCAGTAAAGTATTTGGTTTGATAGCCAATATGGAGAAATCTAGCTTCTTCGTAGCTGGGGTTGAAGAAGGTATTAAGGACCAATTGCTGGAAAGAACAGGATTTACTCTTGAAACTTTTCCTAGCAGATACTTAGGATTGCCTTTATCTCCAAGGAAATGGAATAAGATGGATTGTCAAATGTTGATCGGGAAGATCACTCACAAAATTAATGCTACCTATTCTAAGCAATTGTCTTATGCAGGAAGACTTCAAATAGTAAATGTTGTGCTCTTCTTTATACATAGCTTCTGGGACTGTCTTTATTTTACCTCAAAGTGTGGTAAAAAGAGTAGATAGGCTATGCAGGGAGTATCTGTGGGGTAAAAATAAAGGGCAGAAGAAAGTGGCATTGGTTGCATGGGAAAAGGTGTGTTGTCCAAAGAAATTAGGGGGTTTAAATATCAAAGGGTGCAAAGAATGGAATATAGTCTCAGTAGGTAAACTACTATGGCAACTGGTATTGAATAAGGAATCCCTATGGGTAAAGTGGGTTTATGGAGTCTACGTGAAAGCAGATCATGACATATGGGCATATACTCCTCAAACTCACTCAAAGAATTGATGAAGGAATGGTACTCCCACGGCAGATATGTTCTAACCTTAGGAGGGAGATATTCAATCACAAGCAGTTATCTTGTTATAGTTGGCCAACTACAGAACTTAGAAATTGCAGTCTTAATTTGGACAGCTGTAGCACAACCTAAACACAGGTTTATTGGTTAGCTTGCAACACTAGGGAGATTGCTAACTAAAGACAGATTGATCGGGATGCAATTACAGGTTGATAATATAAATTGTAGTTTGTGTAATGAGGACAAACTGGAAACAAAGGACCACTTGTTTGTAGAATGCGGCTGGATAAATGCAGTAAGACAAGAAATTAATTTGTGGTTAGGACAACCAGTGCCGGTTGCAGGCATCAAACAAATGCTGGAAATGATCAAACGTAAGCATTGGAAACAATTCAAGAAGGATGTGGTAGTTGCAGCCAATGTAGCAATGATATACCACACCCGGAGAGTTAGAAATATAAAAAAATTTAAGAACTGTAAATAGAGAAGAGGTAGTTACACAAATTAAGAGGGAAGTTATAGAGAGGTTAGAGTTACTTCAGAAGTCAAAGAAATCACAAAAATGTAGGAGTTTAGTTCAACAAGTTCTTTGTAATTAGCTGTTTTTTTTGTGTTGGAGGCCTAAAGTCTGTGGTCAGATTTAGGTGTTTTATAAGTGTAATCGTTTGTTGTTGTCACTTTTACATTGTTACCAAAAAACAAAAGAGTTCCAGTTATTTTTTTCGATTGTATCATCTTATTCCAAAGATTTTGTTCCATGAATTTCCTTTGAAATATCATCTTTAACAACATCATGAGACCATTAGTCACTTTAATGAAATCAGCCGTATTGATCTTTGGCTGTCCTTTTCTTGTATGTTGCTATGTGGCTCTCGGGAGTGTTGTTTGATAAGACTCATTTGCATGCTTATTTGATCCTTTTGATGGTTTCTTGAGTTGGATTGAACTGAAATGACACTTGATTAGCCTTGAGTTGGTTTCTTTATTTATGATCAATTAATTAGGTTGACTTCAGGGCATTGAGGAACTAATGAGCTTAAGATGCAAATATTCATTGGCCTATTATCCACCGAGTTTCGAACTGTGTGCCACTTGACCTCGGGATTTCTCAGTTATAAAAAAGCGATCAAATATTGATGTAAATGAGGTTGAAATTGTTAATAAACTGGCCATTATTCTCATTCAATAGTTACCTTGAGGAATAAAGTATACGGACTTTTTGTATTGGATTTAGACGGGTTTAATTGGAGCGACATGGATAGTAAGGATTCATATAGCTGACCGCAACTAGGTGCAATCTTACAATTGTACATGATATAGATGCAATGATTGATCTGATAGGGGAATTGCACATTCTGTAATTATCTTTTGTAACACTGGCTCAGTGCAAGGTTACCAACTATATTATTTTCTCATTACTTATCAAAAAAGTCTTTATTATGTATATAATATCTAGAACTTTCTAAATTTTTTGCGTATTTTCTTTTTTTAATGTTGTCCCCCTCCCCTCCCCCCTTATTTTTTCATTATTTATTTATTTATTTATTTTTTATTATTATTATTATTATTATTATTATTATTATTATTATTATTATTATTTTCCTCTCGTGTTCTTCCTCTTCTCACTCTTTCTAAGCTGAAGGTCTATTGGAAACAACCTCTCTATCTTCACTAGGTAGGGGTAAGGTCTGCGTACGCACTATCCTCCCCAGACCTCACTTGTGGGAATATACTGGGGTTGTTGCTGTTGTTGTTCTCCTTATTTGTTTGTAGAAACTATAATGTATGATCAGTTCAAAGAAAACACACGTGCGCTCGCGCTCTCTCTCTCTCTCACACACACACACACACACACATATATATATATTCCCTCCGTTTCAGTTTATGTGAACCTATTTCCTTTTTGGTCCGTTCCAAAAAGAATGACCCCTTTCTAAATTTGAAAACAATTTAGCTTAAACTTCCAATTCTATCCTTAATGAGAAGCTTTTATAACCACACAAATACTCTGGACCCCTTTTTGACTTGTTTAGGACCACAAATTCAAAAAGTCTTCATTTTTCTTAAACTTCGTGCCTTGTCAAACAGGTTCACATAAATTGGAACGGTGGGAGTATAACTTTTAGGTCATTTCAATTAACAGAATCCTACTGAAATGGATAGATGTTTGTATTGTAAGATTCTCAAAAGAAGAAATTACAAATAGAAAAGCAAAAATTGCTTAAATGAGCTATTTAGACAAAACAAAGAAAATCTATTTATTTTTGGCTCAGGTAATGATAGCGACCTATATTGCTCGGACTCTTCAAAAATTTCTAGCCGCACCCATGTTGATTTGACACAATTTGTGTATGGGTGCGTGATCCACACCAGATATCTTCTGAATAAAATATTAGGTGTTTATAAAAAATTAAATTTTATTTATTATAGTTCAATTTAGTTTGTCAAAATATATACTTATATATGTCATAATATATGTGTATTGGCCATACACCACTGCCCGTATCTGCACTCGAATCCATATCCCTGAATCGTAAACTTTATGTGATGAAGAACCCGACCTCTAGATCCCCGCCCATATCGGGTATCCACCCCCGAGTCCGAGCATCATAGCAACGATCGGACAAGCCCATTTAGCAATTATCTGAGAAACAGAAGATTTAGTGTTGAATAATTGGCATGTCTTGTGGTCTTGATCTTAACTGTACGTAATCCAAGAGAAACCAAACAAACCTACCTTTTTCAGAAGGAGAACAAGGAAATGGGAAACCAGCACAAATAATTTTTTTTACAAGTCCAGTCTGATAATGGTTACCTGGAATAAGGCACTGATAGTAGATTAGCTTTTCGGGAATTCACCTTTCCTTTTCTCTCACCCAAAATATGTAATAGTAATGGAATTCCAAGTCCTATGACTTGTGATATTGGGATTTGTTTACCTGTATCAGTTGCTGCTCATGTTGATCTAATTTAAGGAGAATATGATTTTTTTTTTTTGTATGTGGACCTGGAAGAACTCATAAAACTTCATTTCTTCTCAATGATCTGTGTTTCGAATTAGATTTTATTAGGAATTATATCGACATTTTTTTTAAAAAAATGTCAGATATACAGAGGTTCTAATATTTTTATTCTGCAGAATGAAGCTGTCTTGAGGGCATGTTCTGAACCACCTCCAACTACAGAGGTAGATGTTGGACAAATAAGTAATGTGCAATTAAAAACCAGTAAGAGTTAGCTCAGAAAGAAGTGACCGAGTATGAAGAGGTAAAATGAACTGTGGGTGACAGAGCTGCTTGCAAGGTCTTTATTATACTTGGTCAACTACATTAGTGTATTACCCCTGAATTTTGCTTAACCTGTTAGCCTACTTTGTTAGCATGAAGTGAACTGATTTGGATGTCTCACTTTTACATGGGTTACACTAGATCAAAGTATACTTTTCTTAGCTTAGCTGTACTGAGTATTTAAATCTGTGACAAATTTTATCAAATGCAATCTATTGTGTTTCTGTTTGTGTTTGATCACAAGCTTGTTTGATGATGACCTGGAGCGCGAGACATTTTCTGTCATTGTTTTGCTAGGGTGTTTTGGTCCCTCTGCAGTAGCAAATGTTGGCCATTTAGTTTGAAATGGATGTTGAAATTTGGTTTTGGTGTCATGGACTCATAGGGAATCAATCTTATGAGTTTTTATAGCCTGTTTGGCCAAGCTTTTTTGGGGCTGGAAGTGTTTTATCCAAAAATTGAGGTGTTTGGCCTAGTTTTTGGAAGGAATAAAAGTGCTTTTGAAGAGAAGCAGAAGCAGTTTTGGAGAAAAATAAAAGTATTTTCTCTTCAAAAGCACTTTTTTATAAAGCACTTTTGAGAAAAATACATTTAGAAGCAGTTTTTAAAAGCTTGACCAAACGCTAATTGATGCTCAGAAGTACTTTTCAAATTAATTAGCCAAACACAAATTGTTTTTCACTAAAAGTACTTTCGAGAAAAGCATTTCTCAAAATAAGCTGATTTTTACAGCTTGGCCAAACAGGCTATAGCCAAAAAAATAGGTAAGATACTGGATCTTCCATTTGTATAATGTGTTCCATCACGATATGGGAGAAAATCAACTAGGAAAAGTTCATGGCTGTCAAATCCGTTTCAGTTTCCTTCTAAACAAAAGAGGGTGGTTTAACATCTTGAATACTGTAATGGGCTTAACATTTACCTTACTGTTACATCACAAATTAGCCTTGAATCTTACTAAATTTTAACCACTGTTTAAAAATATTACTGGTGTTGGGGCAAGTTTTGAGCACCTCGACTAATTATCGGACATCCTGTCTAGTTCACAAACATAGGTTCGACAAGCATAGGTTGTAAAGGTATTCATGGTCACCCCTGGTGTTGTAGTTTAAATTCGAGGTGGTTTGGTTCAAGATCAGTTGATTAAGGAGTACAAATATTGTCTTTGCCTTGTGTGCATCTCATTTGAAAAAACTGGAACGGTGGCTTAGGTGTAGAAACAGGAAAGTATTGCCTAAGTTTGGATATGTTATTACATCATAGATTGTACGACCCACATGCAAAAAGCCTATCTTTGTATGCTCCTTAGTATCGAGGTAACCTTTCAGATGGGCTAGAGACCAATGAGTTGAATTGGTCTTTAACTGGTATTTTCAACAGGCATACCGTGTAGATTCTACTTCTCTTTTTACTACACTACAAGTATTTTTAGACAATACTAAAAGGAACAATATGATAATTTTTTTTTCAATATCTTGGTCACATATGCACGGGGTGTGAGGCCCTTATACCCTGTTCAACAGGCAAAAGTCGCAAGTATGATTTTTTATGAAGTATGTGTTCAGGTCTAACTTGCATACACCGACTATTTCTCTCTATAGATACCGAGTAATTGTTCCTACTAAGACTTAGTTACCTGGGATGAAATTTTTTAGCATTTTGGTCTTTGTTCGAATTTGAACTCTGATTTCTCGTGGTTTAAGACATGTGATTCACTTCTTCCTGTTTGGGCGCTAAAAGTCAAGGCTGTAAATTGTAACGTTTGGGCAAAATTTGATCGCTTTAACGTTGAGAATTGTTGGTCACTATTAGCGGCGGTCTTACTACAAGTCTACAATTATGTTTATTCATGTGAATTCACTTATGAGACTTGAAAGGTGTATACGCTCAAAATAGTTTTCGACCTTCGTACGATTGGTGAAGACGGACCGAAGAGCGTCTTCATAATATCGAGGTGAGATTTGAAGAAGGCACGAACGAGTTTCGAGTTTTGGGGAGATTAAATATCGAGCTCAACGTCATTATCGAGCTCGAGTCCGAATCGAGCTATGAAGAGAAGCGATGCTATCAAGCTTAAGAGCCAGAGACCGACCAATACGGAGCCCGGATCAAGACCGGGCCCCGAATCAATATCTAGCTCGAGTCAATATCGAGCTCTGACTTTGGAGACCGATCAATATCAAATCCGATCAAGATCAGGCTCATAGACAGGAGTCGTTACAGCCGCACTAAGGGAGAGAATCTCGGCGGTAATTAGGGAAAAACTGATTTATCATGAGTTCCCCACTATGTATTTTTAATTATATCTAAAGTAAGATCCCTCCACTATAAGAGGGATGGCTATATTTCTGTAAGAGGGGAAGAAGACACAATACTATTGATACATTCCCATATTAAGAGATTATCCTTTGGAACCTTATACATTGATTCATCTTGCTTATTCATAAATCTTTCCCTTTTTAACTTTGTGTGTATTTCATTATTTATAGTCAATATTCAACATTTCTACTTACTCTTACGATTTGTGTCAAGCTATACCACATACCCTTAGAACTACGTACAAATTCAACTCTATCCGTTCTTCGGGTAAACAGTTTGGCGCCCACCGTGGGGCTAAGGATAGCAATGGTTATTTGATACGAATCCGCAAAACACACCATTTTATGCTTGTTTTCGGAAGTGTCTTTGATTTCGGATTAGCAACAACGAGCTATCAATTAAATGGCCTTATCTAACGACAACGAAGCTGGTCTTTAAGGTGAGAACAACAACTTGACGCCCAGGGCCGAAAGGCCGCTTGTCGACATCGTTGGTGCTCGAGTCGAAGTGTCATTAGACGTTAATTTGTATGTGGCCATTGAGGCAAACCTACGTTCTGAACCTGAAAATAACATTCATTGTGGTACTCCATCTGTATCTCGAGATACCCATAACGTTGAGGAAAATGGAGCCAGCTTGCGTATGATTTTCGAAATATTGCAAGCTCAACAAGCAATAATAGCTCAGTTGCAGAGTCAAACCCAGACACCGAGCAGGCCGGAGCCCAGTCCACCCCGAGAAATCACCCACAGAACGGAACCAGCTATAGTAAGGTCAAATGAGCAAGAGTCGGGGACAAATCCCGAAATTGCTAAGGTGTTCGAAGAAATGACCAAACGAATAGAATCAGGAAAAAAAAGGATCGAGGCAAACGACAAAAAAGGTGGAAACATATAACTCTAGGGTTGATCAGATATTGAAGGGCTTAGATTCCAAAACATTCTTACAAAAGTCTTTCCCCCCAAGCGCGGCTCCTAAACCGATCCCAAAGAAGTTTCGCATGCCCAAAATTCCTAAATATAACGGAACTACCAGCCCCAACGAACATGTCACCTTTTACACATGTGCCATTAAAGGGAACAATCTAGAGGACGATGAAATCGAATCCGTATTATTGAAGAAATTCGGTGAAACCCTGTCAAAGGGAGCAATGATATGGTATCATAATTTACCATCTAATTATATCGATTCTTTTTCTATGCTTGTAAATTCTTTCGTAAAAACACACGCTGGGGCCATGCAGACCGATCCTGCCCAGAGGAACCCCAATTAAATGTGCGAATATCATGGCACCCATGGCCACAAAATGGAAGATTGGAGGCAACTAAGAGAGGAGGTAGCCCGGTTATTCAATAAAGGGCACCTTCGAGAATTTTTAAGCGACAGGGCCAAAAACCATTTCAAAAACAGGGATTTCGGTAAACAAAACGAACAAGAAGAACCACAGCATATCATCCACATGATCATCGGTGGCATCGATACCCCTCAAAGGACGGTGCTTAAACGCACTAAGACATCGATTATGAGAAAGAAACGACCTCGAACTCAGGATTACGCACTCATAGGAACCCTGTCCTTTAATGATGAAGATGCAAAAGGAGTCATGCAACCTCACAACGATGCACTGGTAATATCCGTACTTATGAATAAAACTAAAGTTAAACGTGTGTTAATTGATCCAGGTAGCTTGGCCAATATTATTAGATCGAAGGTCGTAGAACAGCTCGGTCTACAAGACCAGGTCGTACCTGCGACCCTGGTTCTAAACGGATTCAATATGGCATGTGAAACTACCAAAGGCGAGATAATTCTGCCGATAAACGTGGTCGGGACCATCCAGGAAACGAAGTTCCACGTAATCGAAGGCGATATGAGGTACAACGCCCATTTTGGAAGGCCATGGATCCACAATATAAGAGTTGTACCTTCGACCCTCAACCGGGTTCTTAAATTCCCAACATCGGAGGGAGTCAAAACAGTGTACGGAGAATAACCGGCCGCAAGAGAAATGTTTGCCGTCGAAGAAGCAATTCCGATATCCTCACCTTCGTCAGCAAAGGGGTCGGACTCGAAGGGGGGACGTGATGCCAAATAGCAATCACAGACGTCAGCTTCAACCCAACTAGAAAATCAGAAGATTGACCAAGATGATGAGCAAAGGATCCATCGATCCTTCGTGGTCCCCGATGATTCCGAATCTACCCAATCAACGATTGAAGAATTGGAGCAAGTCATACTGATCGAACATTTTCCCGAACGAAAGGTATACCTAGGAACGAGATTAACCCCTGAACTCAGGAAAAGGCTTATCCAATTTCTTATTGATAACATAGATATTTTTGCTTGGTCCTATTTAGATATAACAAGGATCCCACCGGATATAACGACGCATCGTCTAAGCATGGACCCTAGGTTCAAACCGGTGAAGCAAAAGAGAAGACCCCAGTCTGAGGTAAAGCACGCATTCATAAAGGATGAGGTAACTAAACTTCTCAAAATAGGGTCCATCGGGAGGTGAAATACCCCGAATGGTTAGCCAATATAGTTGTAGTCCCTAAAAAGGGGAACAAACTCAGAATGTATGTAGATTATAAGGATTTAAATAAAGCGTGCCCCAAAGATTCTTTTCCGCTGCCCAACATCGATCACATGATCGATACTACGGCCGGCCACGAGGTCCTTACTTTTCTCGATACCTATTCCGGGTATAATCAAATCAAAATGAACCCGAAAGACCGAGAAAAAACTTCATTTATCACCAAGTATGGAACATATTGTTATAATGTAACGCCTAGTAAATAAAATGTTCAAGGAACAAATAGGTAAATAGTTTATGTTGATGACATGCTAGTTAAGTCCCTGCGCGCAGAGGACCATTTGGCTCATTTACATAAAACGTTCGAGATTTTAAAGAAATACAA